AACACTGCGAGACTGCTGCCAGCCCCCAATAGTATGTAGTTAGACTGGTGGGACGCGGCACAAAAAATGTCTTCTGCTGCTAGGGCCATAACACTGAGGAAGGTCTAGGCAATATCTGAAGAACCCCTCTTCTTGAGCAGTTGGCTGTTAGGAGACTTCCACTTTCCACTAGTGACCTTTCTTCAACAATGCCTAGCTACTTAAAATCTCTGCTTAAACCACTGTTTCTAACTTTCACAAACCTGCCATACAGCTCTTGTTTTCACAACTCATTTTCATCCCAAAACAGTGCTTATTAAATTTGGTACTACAGATACACTGGCCTAGATATGTTAGAGGGTACTACTCTGCACTCTGAACGTGTGCCAGCATCCCCTGGCTTCTACCCACTAGATGGCTGACTCGTGCCCTAGACAAGACCCATCCTTTGAGAATAGGATTGGCTCTCCATATCCATGGATCTAACCAAACATGGTTAAAAGTATTCAGAAAAAAACCCACAATCTGTCTGAACATATATGCTCATTAGGTCATTATTCCCTAAACAATACTGCGTAACAACTGACACAGATTTGACACTAGGTATAATCTAAGATGACTTAAAAAGTACAGGACAGAATGTGTAGGTCATATGCAAACATGCCACTGAGCATCCAGATTTTATTACAGTGGGGGGTTACTGGAACAAATCCTCCATGACACAAAACGTCATTTTCAGGACCAGCTTCAGGCAAAAGTTCAACACCAGGAATACAAGTTACCAAGGAAAGTGGAAACAGGACCAGATTAGGGCCTGCTTCATTCTCCTATTTCATTCTCAAAAACCCATTTTACAGTTCAAACAAGGGGGAAAAAAAATAAAAAGCTGCATTTCAAACAAAGGTTATTTCAGAAGGTAAAGGTTCACAGCCCACAGCAGTCTGTTTTTTGGAAACTGGGTGTTAGGTACATAGGAGTTCATTTTTTACTCTTTTTGAATGATTTAACATTTAAAGATAAGAAATGGAGAGGGGAGAAGCTTGAAGTCACCAACAGCACCATAGACTTTGAGGCCCATGCTATTTTCACCAACTTAATGTAAAAGGACAAAGATAAGCCAAAGAGAAACATTATCAAATTGTACTGAAAATAGCTGTCAACCATCTAAATAGTGCCTGGTGTGTATCTACAAGTGAGATCACAGCTCATTTCTTAGATGAGCATTCAAACATTCAGTAACCCAAGGAGTGAGGCAGGACTTCGACAAAGGGGGTGTATGTGATAAGTCAGCCACAGAACCAAAAAGAAAATGGAAGAAACTAAGAAGGATATACTGGATACCACTGCATTGGGATTATCTTGTGATGAGTAATCAATCAATTCTCAAACCACCCAGCACTCAATACTAGCTAAACCACTTTAAAAGCAATCTGTTTAGTGCCATTTACTAGTTGTGACCTTGGACTTGATCTACTGCCATTACAAATAGTAGAAAGCTACTATGGATCTTGACCAAGGAGTTCTTACTTTAGAAATCTAAGGGACACTCACCAAAAGCTTCAGCATTTCCTTAGTGTCAGGATCTACTTCAATAATCTCCTGATCCAGGGCAGAGACCTAGAAGGGAGACAGACCCAAAATATCAACCACTGAGCTCTCCCTCACCTCAACTGTCCCCCATTCTTAAATTAGCAGATAGGAAGTAAAAACAAACCCCTCCCCATACCCAGAAGAGGGTACTGGGGCTGGAGAGAAAGGTTAGGAACCCATAACGTGATCAAGTCTGTTGTAGCAGTAAAAGAGGCCCCAAGAAGCTGTTCTGCTTTTATCTTCCTGGGCCCCATTGACTACCCAGAAAACCATTAAGACAGAACTTGCATTTTAAAAACACTGTTAGGGGCAAGAGGTCTTTCATGTGGAAAAACAGACTTAACCTGCTTCCAAGAGGTCACAAAAAAGACCACCAAACAGGAGATAATAGGCACCTACAAGTTGGTTGAGGGTGCATTGGTAAAAGGCCTCCTTAAACTCTCAGTGGAGGTCCCTTTGGAAGCCAGAAACCTAAAGATCCAAAAAACTTACCTCAGGAACATAATTGTCTCTCCTTTCTCTCTCCTCTTCCTGCAGCTTGATGGAGATACCTCTCACAGGGCCTCTCTGTATCCGCTTCATCAGATGTGTGACATAGCTGTAAGTACACACAGTAAGAACACACTGGACTTTTACTGGTACCCAGGACATCTGGATACACATCAGTTTTACTTCTTTTCACAAGAGAAAAGAGGATTCCCCATCGAAGAACCTCCCACTCAGAACCCCTTAGTGAAGTATTTCTGTTCCTTTGGTTTCTCGCACATAGTTCTACCAATTTTTTGAGTAATAGCAACAATGAGTAATTTTTATTAAAAGCAAATAAAAACCAAGTAAGACTTAAGTCCAGAGATCTGACTTCGATTACCTTAACCATGACAGCCAGTCATAACCCAAACATCCCAGCAAAATCTGCAAAAACAAACCTCCAACTCCCTCTAGAGTACCAGGGAGCTTGGCGCTAACAAAACCATCAGGGGGGGGGGGGGGAAAAGTCTTCCCCAAATCCGAGGACGGCAACTCCCGCGGTCACAGTTCTGCACCTTTTTCCAGGCCTTCACTCACCCTGCGATCTTGTTGCGGAGCTTCTTGCTGGGAATAATGGCGATCTCCTCGCACACGCGCTTGTTGGTATGAAAGTCGTTGCCCAGGCGCGTGTAGTACTTCTCGATGATAACCCGGGCGGCCTTCTTCACAGTTTTGGTGCGAACGCGGCCCTGCGGGCAGAGACGAGATCACTAGCAAGCCGGCAAGTCCGGGTTAAAGAACCAGAATCACCGCAGGAGAAAGGTGAACCTGGACGGGAGGGAGTAACTAGCGCCGACCGCAACCCCAGCTCTACAGAAACCGCGCCCGTCGCAATTCCAGCCTAACGGGAACCCGCTTCCGACTGGCCCAAAGTCTCCCATTGTGGGCCAGGGTCCGGGAAAACTAAGGATGGACAACGATTGAGGAGGAGCGAGCACTCAAGCGAAAACACCTACCATGTTGGCGGGTCCTGGCAAAAGAGGAAACAGGAAGTACGAGAGAGGCAATATAAAGCGCCGGCCAGAAAGCCACTTCCGCTCAGGCGAGAATTGCGGAATTCGCTCGGGAGTACCACAGCGGCCTCTGGCGGCATGGGGCGGAAGCGGGGTGTTTCGCGTCCGGCTCCAGTGGGCGGTGCTACCCCCTCCGTTCTGGCTTTACCTAGTGGCCCAGGCCCTTGTCATGCTGTTCCTGTTAGGATGAGCTCTGGACCAGGAGGGATGCCTCTCTCCCACACACTCCAGGTCGAAAAGAATAGGCTTTGAGGCTTGGGAAGACGAGAAAGGGATGGCACCCCTCCAAGGGACCTCATTGCGTCTGTGGATCAGATTTGTCATGTCTAATCTGGAGGAGAAATGGGTGTACTAAGAGAAATTGTCTGATTTCTTCGTTAGCTCAAACACACTATCAGTCTTTCCCTACAATTTATGTACAGTACTCCTTTAATACTGCTCTTAGTGCTAAGGCACCTGTCAAGAAACAAAGGCTGAGCCCCATGACAGCAAGGGCCCTTTTGTTTAGCTAATCCCTAGTGCTAGAACAGTGCCTGGCACAGAGCAAGCTCTCATTTAAATAAACAAGGGTCCTAGTTCACCTGCAGCACTCCCAACAAGTGAAAGTGCTTTCTCCTTCCTCCACCCACCACTGCAGTCTCCAGACTGTTCTGCCTTACCCATCCCCAAAATTAGGCCTTTCTGAAGCCACCAGCAGTTTGTCCCTTTTGCCCTTATCAGCTTAGGAAGGGGAGGGCCCCGTCCCCGCCCTCCTTCTCCAGGTCTGCTCCCTGGGCTGGAGAGTCTTAGGTCACACTTAACTTATAGAAAGGCCAGGTTAGATGTATTAAGAGTCCAGGACTATGCCACATTCCTCAACTTGTCTCAGCCACTCCAAATTTCCAACTTATTGGGGATGGAAGGATAAAGGGCAGGAAGCCTTCACCCTGAAAGTAGCATGTGGACAAAAAAAGGGGGGGGGGGCGGGGAAGGGATGCCTCTATGATACAGGAAAGTTAAAAGAGGATACAAAAAGGGTCAGAATCTCAGAGTTGTAGGAACTTCCTTTATCAGTAAGCTTCCAATGAAGTTTAACCCAAACTGTCAGGCCCAAAGTACAAGATCAAATCTCAGTCTTGTTTGAGGGGTCTCCCCAGCCCTACCCAATATAAACTCTTCCACCTCACAGAGGTGATGCTTCAGTTTGCAGGACTCTATACCTCAGACTAAATCATAATCTCCTAAAGAATCAAACAGCTGGGCTCAGCCTACTCTACCTGAAAAAAAAAAAAAAAAGTCATGAGACTCTGTCCCAAGTTCTGGAAACCTGTTAAGAGTCCAGTGATTGATAGGGCTCCCTGAAGACCAGCAAAAAGCTGAATTATCAGCATAGACAAGTTCAAGAGGTTGAGAAGCCTCCCAGGAAGAAACCTGCAGAGGCTGGGGTTGTGACTCAATGGTAGAGCACTAACCTAGCATGTGTAAGACCCTGGGTTCTATCCTCAGCACCACATAAAGAAATAAAATAATGGTATTGTGTCCAACTAAAAAAAATATATATATATTTATTTTTTGTTAAAAAGAAAAAGAAAAAACATGCAAGGGCTCACAGAAGACGAGAACAAGTGGCTCCTGACACCTGGGCAGATATACCTGCACATTTTCCAAGCTTCATGTGGAGGCTGCAAGAAACTTCAGTGTGAGAGCTTCTTACATGAAGCAACCACCTACTGGAGAGGCATCTCCAAAAGTACATTTGGCTATGGAAGAGACCCAGAACTCACAAGAGTATGTCTCCCACATGGTTCCACCATCATCCTGGACTAGAATCCCACCACAGAAAATCCAAGGAAACAAGTTTTTCTTAGGAATCTATCACCCACATCTCAAGATACAAAGACAAAGCCAGAATTCTGCTGCAACGTGTTTATTATGTGCCAAAAAAACTACACCACAGCTTACTCCACACATCTGTTGTAGGAGAGTGCAGTCTTGCCTGCATATACTACAATGAGGTAGAGACTTCACACACAGCTTCACAAAACCCACAGAGTAGCTGGGATATGCAACAATGCAACATCAGCTCAGCAGGAGGGAGGAGGGGGTTATGACACTGGTTCTTTGGCACACAGCTTCCCTAAGAGGGGCAAGTAGTATTAAAATAAAAGAAAGAAAGAAGGAAAGAAAAGAGTCAAGTTTTCAAATTCCAGTAGCATTTCAGTCAACTGCAAATGTTGATTCATACATTCCTCAAATGAAATATATTAAGGAAGGGTACTTGTCCCCTCTAAAAGAAAGGGCTCCTGTGAGCCTTCATCTGCCCCCACCAAAAAAAGCAGCCCTTTTTTTTTTTTTTAGCTCAGTTACAAAAGAAAAAAAGTCCTGTGATTTTGTGATTAAAAACTTCTATCAACCCTCCCCCCCATGTAAGTGCAACTTAAGAAGGTGCAATAAACCATTTAAAACTATATACAGCAGCCACTCAAACACCGTTTTTCCGGTCCAGTTTCAAATAAAACAAATTTTTTTCTTGGTTGCAAATGCTTTGATTTGCAACTGTGAGAAACAGTGACCAGCAGTCCCCCCAGACACAAATTTGCTATAATGTTAAAAGCTGCCAGGAAAGAAAAAAATCTCTTGTTCCAAACGACTTAAAAACTGTTTTAAGGAGTGTAAAAAGGAACCGGTAAAAACCCTCGAGCGTAAAATATGAAATATGATTTTGGTTTAAATGAAGAGCAAAGTCTCCTTGTTGTTTACAGTAAAAAACACCAGCTGAACACTCAGTTTATGCCGTTCAGGTGGGGGTTAAATAAATGGAAAGGCACTGTATGGCAACTGCAAGAATGAAACCAATGAGACCTGCGCATCATCACCATCAGTATTGCAAGGAATGTAAAAAAGCGCTTTAATAAATAAACCTAGATGTAGGCATCCGTGTCAATACCTTCTGGACACAGTTTTTTTTTCTTCTTCTTCTTTTTTTTTTTTTTTGCTTTTCATCTGCAAAATGAGGAACTAAAATCTGGGAAAACTACCGAGTCGCTTGGAGGGTGGTCCAGAGGGCCCTTGCCCTGGCACACCCCCTGAAAACAAAACCCAACAAAACTCATTGTGCATTAATTAGTGCAGAAACAAAGACAGATTCAGCAAGTGCAAAGGTGACTACAATTTTCCCTTGTCCTCGGGAAACCAGCTCCCTGGTTGCCAGTGGCACAGTGGTACAGGCTGCTGCCTGACCTGCCAGCCTTGGGCTCCACAGGCCACTGGGCAAGGCCAGCTCCTCTAGCTGGAATCTCGGTTCTTCTGGTTCCGCATCAGGGGGCTGTGGTGACGCAGACCTTCCATGCTATGCCGCCAGTGCCAGCAGCTCCGGCAAAAGTACTTGAAGCAGACCTGGGGATAAAAGAGGAATGTCATGCCTATTTCAGCACTAGGCATAGGGGCTGTTTGCATGAGCTGCTTGTTCTGCTTGGAGAGGACACTGGAGACCCCCATGGTCTCTGTGAGGCTAGAAGAGATGGTTCCTGCAAGCCCTCTCAATCTAACAAAGCCCTGGACCAACCATAGCAAATCCAGTCTTATTTCTGTGGGTCTCTTAAGTAAACATGTTGGGCTCCAAGTATGTACAAATACTGTGCAGTTTTCCTCTCTCATAACAGCATCTGGTCTTCTATTCCCCTACCCTTCTCACCTCCCACAGAGTAGCTCTATCACGTGGCTGCTAATATGAGAGAATGTCTGAAAAGCTGAGTACAGATTCTAATGCCAGGCTCATTTCCCAGTAAGTAAGGAGAGGTGATTGGGTTTGGACCTCAGTCTCAGCCCCAACTCTTGCTAGCTGGGTAACCTCAGGGAAGTCTTCTCCCATTCCTCCACCCCATACCAGAGAATCCACCATTGAGCCACATGCCCATCCCTTTTTGTATATTTTATTTCGAGACAGAGTCTCACAGAATTGCTTAGTGACTTACTAAGTCGTTGAGGCTGGCATTGAACTTGCAATCCTCCTGCCTCAGCCTCCTGAGTCACTAGGACTACAGGTTTGTGCCACCACGCCTGGCAAAAACTGTTAACTTCTAAGCAATTCTCTGAAAATGGGGACCACCTGTGAAAGATTTGGTCCATAAAAGACCTCCTGAGAAAGTTGATCAGAAAGTTACTCATTTTTAGGCTTTACCTAACTATCCAAACTTCAAACTCTCACTTGGGAGTCTTAGTTTGATTATCTAACCAGAGACTCCAAACTGAATGAAAACTATCACTACAAAACAAACAAAGCTAAGCATGGGTGGACTACTAGTGACCTAAGAGGCCCCAAAACTTCCCCCAAAACTTGTCAAAGTGTGATTCAAACCAGCAATGCAGATGCCACATGGAAATGTGTTATAAACATGAAATATCTCAGGATCTACCCCAAATCTACTGAATCAGAATCTGCATTTCAACAAGATTCTCTGATGAGGCATATGTACCTTCTACTTTGAGAAGTAATGCCAAACACATCCAGATCCATCCACAATCCACCACCCAGAAACAGTCAATAGAAAGTTTCCATGCTGCTATTTCTGACAACTGTGGGTATGGCCCAGGCATAAAAATCAGAGCAGTCCAGAAGAGGGTCCTTGAGTTGGGAAAAATCCAAAGGGTCTCAGAGCCAGAGCAGCAGTACCTGGCTCACAGGTACCACTGAGCCAACCACACAGGTATCTACAAAACCACCAACCAACAATGTCACTGCATAGCAGCAGCCCAGGAAGAAGGCTGAAGTATCAAAATTCAATTCAATAAGCTTCCCCAAGAGCTCTGGTACAACTATCTATAGTGTATCCCATGACTACTACCTATTCCTCTGTGTTCTCAGACATGAAGTACCTCAGAACTCCAACACTCAATGTCACAAACATGGCTTAATTTTTAATTGACACAGGAACTTCACAGACATCAGTGCCCAGGGGACTCACCTGATCTCGACAGAAGAAAGGACCAGGTTGAGAACTGCAGACATGACACAGAGAATCTTCTAGATAGGGGTCAATCTGAACCTGCAGAAAAGCAACAGAGGAAGATGAAATGGCTCTTCTCACCAGGAGGCTAGGTGAGCTGCAGGAACACATTATTGGGCACATTATTGGATATTTGTTTTAATGGCAACTAGAGAGAATTATGGGAAGAGAACATAGACAGCGAAACTAGATGGCAGATTCACACCATGCAGAGCCACATGGCTGCCTTGAGGACTCAGACAACCACACCCCTTATGGCCTACTCTTTTCAGAAAACTGTATCTTGGCCCTCTATAACTTAGTAATAGGCAAGTGTTCAGAGGATTCAGAAAAGGGATAAAGGGAAGTAAGCTATTTAGCAATACCAGATGAATATAACACTGAGGGAAACTGCCCGCTCTCTCAGGTGGCTCAATCATCTCAGTTCCTTTCCTCCTGAGCCTACGCAAATCAGGCCCACCCAATCGTCATGTTAATTCTGTGGTTTGGTTCACTTTCTCAGTCACAGTCCTGCCCTGGGTAGTAACTAAAAACCAAGTCCCTCTGAGATGCCCCAGAGTAAGGGCACACACCAGCCCACTTACCTTCTTGGTGAACTTGGTAGTTTTGATTTCCACAAAAGCAGCACTGACTGCTTTCAGGTAACTACGTTGGTTATTGAATGTCACACGACCAGACCCTAGGAATAATAGACATGGGCTTACTTTCTCGCCAAATTCTCCCAAATGCCACTCTTCGACACTCAAGAAATCCTATTTCTATAGCAGTGCTGTCCAACAAAAATATGGGGTACTTACATGATTCTTAAGCTATACTCAAGAAACCTTATTTCTTTAGCAGTGCTGTCCAACAAAAATATCGGGTACTTACATGATTCTTAAGCTATACCAAAACAAAAACGGTGGAATTAATTTTTAATAATATATTTTATTTAACCCTGTGTCCAAAATATTTTAACATACGGAAGAAGCTGCATTTCAAGTGCTCAATCATCACATTTAGTTGGTGGCTACCATATTAAGGCAGTTATAGACCACGTTGTCACAAATCATTCAGAAAAGGGATTCTTCCAGTATAGGAAAATGCACAGGTAGGGGTAAGGGTTCAGGGTAGAAACCAAGATGCAGACAGAATATCTCTCTGAAGAGGAGGCCCAAAAGACACACCCCTTCTGGCCTGGAGGTAACCTGGAGTCCTAGTAGAAGAACTGCAGAAGCCTCCTCTTGCCAAGTGCCGCCTCCGCCTCTACAGTCTCTGAAGTCCTTGTTCTCAATCTGTGGCACAGCACTGATGAGCACATGGTGCTCCTTCCTGACCAGATTCAGTGTGGGTGGGCAGACTAAGCATCTGGCGAGGTGGGTTACCATGTCTTGATCAGAGAGTTCAGGCTCTGCTCTACCTCCTAACCCATCAGAGGTTAGGAGTGGTCAGACTGAAACCTAGTGGTCAGACCCACAGACTCACCTACCTGGGACAGTCAGGCTATGACTGCACTGTTACCAGAGTCATCCAGAAAATCCTCCCCCAGCTTGACCTGGTTTCTGACCTGAGACAACACCAGAGCTTCTCAAGAATTTTTAATAAAGGAAACTGGGTAAGTTCAGAAAAGTGTGACCTTTTAATAAAATATTACCCATTGTCTATCCCAAACTGGTTTGGCTATGAACTTTGAGCTTCCAACAAAGTTCTTGTCTAATTATCACTAATCACCTTGCAGAGCCTCTGATAACTTTTCTCTTCTTTGTGTGGGAGGTGGGGATAGAAGGCTGGGTGCAGAGGGTCCAATACTGGTGACTTGTCTAGAAAACATGCTATGCCACTAAAATAAGCTGATCCACAGACCTAGGTCAGGCCTCTTTTTCCACTCCCAAGAGAAAGTACCACAATCTTGGCCTATTCCCAGGGGCCACCAAGCTTTCCCACACAAAAATAGGACACTTACCAATGGGATACTTGTGCTTATCTGTGTCAATCCCAGCATACACGACTCCACCAAATAGGTCATTCAAGATGGCAGCCAGTGCCTCAGCATTGAGCATCCCATGCAGGGCACCAACAAACACTGTTCTGCTAGGGTCCAGCCTCTGAGAAGGGCTCCGGACAAAGTTGCTGTCAGCCAACACCCAGGGGATCACCTGCACCTGAAAACCCCCCAAAGGTATATCAGCTCTGGCAGAAAGCCACAGAGAGAGGCTCTTGATTGGCAGAGAATATGCTCTAAAAGTAGTATGGTTGGGGCTACTGAGGCCCATGCAGGGGTGAGAAGGCATCCTCACCCATTTCAAGCCCACAGGCATCTAGTAAGACACCCTTACCCATCCCAATTTGAATTTTACCGAGTTCATGTGTCTAGAATGCTGAAGGTAGAGGGAAGAATAGCACTCACTCATCCTGGAGAGTAAACAAAACTGTTCCAAAATGTCATACCCCAAAATCCAGCAATCTGTCATAATCTCCAACTGTATGTTCTAATCAAAGACCACAAAAATTGATTAACAGAAAGTGTGGCTCCTCAAGAAAGGAAGTAGGGGTCTGAAGAACAGAGGGGTGAGCATGCTAATGATATTTGTGAGATGGTCACTGGCCCAACATATGCACCAGAGGACTTGTGTCAGGAACACCTGAAATGGCAGAAAGTCACACACAGAGACCCGAGATCTTGAGTAACACCAGGTTAGGAGCTGACAAAGTCTTTTACCTCTGAATTCTCTGGGTCCAGAACAAAACCTGGTAGGAGGTCACATGAAGTGAGTTGACAGATGACCAGATGTTTTTAGAAAATTAATCTGTGAGGATCTTTTTTTTTTTTTCCAAGTCTTGAAACAAGAAGAGATATGAAGCAGAAACCAGGAAGGAGGCAAAAACAGTAATTCAGATGACAGGTGATTAAGATATGGACAAGGCTGGTGGCAATAAGCCCAGAACAGGACAAGACCAAGTAGATTTTTTTTTAATATTTATTTTTTAGTTTTCGGTGAACACAACATCTTTGTTTGTATGTGGTGCTGAGGATCGAACCCAGGCCGCACGCATGCCAGGCGAGCACGCTACCGCTTGAGCCACATCCCCAGCCCCCAAGTAGATTTTTCTTCAGATCTTCAGAACTCAGACCACCTGAGCATGGTAGGCAAACAAGGAAGAATCAGGATTGATGAGATCTAGGTCTATATGACTCCAGGATGAGAGGAGCCAGCAGAAGATGAAAAATCCCATTTTACATACCAAAGAGTTCGGAATTATAGAACACACAAAAGAAGGGTCCCCAGAAAAGTGGGACTCAGAACAGGAACCTAGAGAGCAGAGTGGATAAATTATCTGAGATGAAAAAGAAGTGAGCCGGGAGTCAAATACTGACTGTGTTTATGGTGGTGGTGGTGGTCACGGTGAAAACAGAGTCAGATGAGCTGGGGCCGAGTGGTAGAACGCTAGCCTAGCATGTATGAGGCACTGGGTTCGATCCTCAGCACCACATAAAAAATAAATAAGTAAAATAAAGGTATTGTGTCCATCTACAACTAAAAAATATTTTTTTAAAAAAGCCAGAGAAGTAGGAGAACAAGGACAGCCTACAGCCAATGCATCAGAGAAAAATACTAAATCTCTACAAGGTGACAAGAAGGGAATGGGAGATGGGGAAGGTGTCACAGAAACACTAGAGAAATGGTCTGTGGTGTGAACATCACAGTCTCGAGTGTGAAAGCAGGGCACACGGGAGAAGCAGCATGTGAACTAAGTCCTGGAATATAATGAACTCTTGCTTGCTGCCCGAGAGCCACACAGCAAGACAGGAGAGAAGGTAGGGGGACCAGGAATCACCATGGGCAGCCAGAAGATGAACATGCCCTGTCACTAAGAAAGTGAGTGACACAGGGAACACCCATAAAACAGAGTCAAATTTGTTACATGGATTATTTAAATGTGATATGTTCACCCCAGAAAAATAGGTATTTTTCTGATAAATAACTGAAAACAAAATATGAGGTGATTGGTATGCCACTTGACCTGATCTGATTATGCATTATATACATGTACTAAAATATCACACTGAAGCCCATAAAAATGTGTAATTGCTATCTGTTGAGAAAAATTATTTGTAAATAAATATTTTATATCTATTAAAAAATAAATAGGGGCTGGGGTTGTGGCTCAGTGGTAAAGCACTCGCCTAGAGTGTGCAAGGTGCTGGGTTCAATCCTCAGCACCACATAAAAATAAATAAAATAAAGGTATAAAAAAATTAAAAAATAAATGGGTTGAAATCGGTTTTCCTGCTGAAATAAAAGAAGAAATAGGTATTTTCCCCCATATCATACATCTTTAAAAAGTAGATTATACTTTTTAGAGTAGTTTTAGGCTCACAGTAAAACTGAAATTTGCCTAGCCTCCCTTACCATCACATTCTGCACCAGTAGATAGATTTGTTATGACTGATTAATTTCATACATCATCACATTAAGTCCCTAGTTTATATTAGGTTTACTCTTTTTTTTTTTTTTTTGGTAGGGTTAAACCCAGAGGGGTTTTACTACTAAACCCTTTTCATTTATTTTGTTTTGAAATAGGGTCTCACTAAGTTGCTTAGGCCTTGAAAAGTTGCTGAGGCTAGCTGCAAACTTACGATCCTCCTGCCTCAACCTCCCAAGAAGCTGGAATTGCAAGCAATTGTGCCTGGCTAGGTTCCCTCTTGATGTCTGTTGAACATTCCAAGTGTTTGGACTAACATGTAATGACATGTATCTACCACTACATGCTGAATTATATGTATTATCATACAGAATAGTTTTGCTGCCCTGAATATTCTTTGTGCTTTGCCTATGTATGCCTCTCTGATCTTTTTAATAAAAAGGTTATTCTAGCCGATGAGGAAACAAAATTTCAGAAACGTAATCTAATGTTTTAAAAGTGTTGTGTTCTGGAATCACATTTTTAAAAACCCTACAACAATTCCTGAACTCTAAACAAATGGTCTCAGATTCTATCCACTAAAACCAATGGATCGCCTATTATAGTCAAGATTCCTAAACTCCACCCAGACTACCCAGTAAGCCTGAGACAAGGATCTGCTACGAGATCCCCAGGTGAGATAACTCCATAATGCCAAGAACACCCAGGCTGAAACCAAAGAAGCATAAGGAAAGAGTTATATGGAGAAAACTAACTAATAAAGCCCTGAATGAGAATGAAGACGACATGGTGGGGGATTTACCCACTAGATACTGGGAGGTCAGAAGAGCCAAACTAGAGAAAGTACCTGTGGTTTTACTAATTAATCCAAGAGAACAATGCTGTTCTCAATTTCATCTCTAAGGTAAGAGGTTTGGGATGAAAGTATAGGCTAGAAAAAGGGGAGGGTAGGAGGGCTAGGGACATGGCTTAGTGGTACAGCACATGCCTGGCATGCATGAGACCCTAGATATGATCCCCAGAAGGGCAAAAAAAAAAAAAAAACTAATAAAAATAAGGGGGGTTTGGGGGAGGGGGAATGAGCTGGGAGATAATATGATCTCTATAGGCAAGAGTATATGTGTATGCGTGCATGCATTCTTAGCCCATTAAGGTACATTAAGGTACAAAAGTTGGTTGTTAAAAGTGTAATTAGAAGATATTGTTCTATTTATTGTATGACAAGAAGAACAGATCTCTTAGCTCAATGGGAATACCTCTTGCCTCTTGCAGTCTGCAATATTTACCCATCCCAAGGAAATCCAGTGCCTCCATCTACCACCTGGACCCAGAAAGGACACCATGCTAATAACTCACCTCCTTACAGCGCATCCTTCGGCTGGACATCTTGAAGTAATATTCACTCAGGCCATCTGGGCTCAGTGGGTCATGAGAGCAAGCCTGAAGCAAGGCCCGGACAGACTTCTCTAGCTCAAAAACCAGATACACGTACCCTATTCCCAATGAGAGAAAAAATTACATTAACATTCCTCAGGTGACTACTCCTCAGCCTTGGCTTTACAACAGTGGTTTCTTCCAAGAGAGGAGGCCTTGAGTACAAGATAATTTTTGTTCTACTCCTGGAAAGTCTTGTGGAATGGAAGCACTTAATGCGCCATATGCCAGGCCAAGGGAGAGAGAGATACCATCTCCCACCTGAAAGAATGGCAACCTAAGATAAAGGACCCCACCACTGCCCCCCAGCTCTTTATTCCAGGATAGAATATACTCTGGTCAGCAGAGCCAGGAGGGATGGCAGGTCTGTACCCAGTCTGCCAAGGGATACAAGTATTGCTTTAAAAGCCTAGTTAAACCATTGGTTCAGTTTCATGAAGAGGGGCAGAGTTGAAAATAGCTCCTTCTCCTTTCTACAGGGAAGGGATCTCATTTTAGAGAACAGTGAGGAATCAGGTGTTTGGTCCTCATTCCTGCCAACTCCAAAGGGATCTCAGAATTAGGTCGGGCAGCAACATAACTGGGCAGCAAAGTCAGGCAAGGGAAAGCTTTTCAAATGCCTCATTCTGAGAGGGAAGGAGAGAGATACACATTAGCCCAGAAGAAACAGAGGGATGTGACAAATCAAAGAGGAAATGCTGAACACTGGAAGATATGTGCCCTGGAGTGCCCACCATGTTACCAGCATGCGGCTGTGACATCCCATCACCCTTTGGTGAGATTATGTACTAAGGAGGGGAAATAAAAGTTCCTACCATGTCTTTATTACCTTTAGGCATATTACCTTTGGGAGGACACCGGGGGTGCTTGCCATCCTTACCAGGCCACTCCACACTTAGAGAGCCAAAAACACGGAAGGTGTTAACCAATCCAGCTGTAAAGAGATGGGAAAGAACAGTAGAAACTGAGGCACCATTCTCCCTAGGAAAAGCACAGCATAGGCTCATCTTTCTTGATGAACAATTTGGAACTGAACTCTGGTCTCAAGTGACAGATGTAAATACCAGAAACGAAGCACTAAGGGAGTCTATGAAATGCACCTGTCTCCTCACCCGCTCCAGTAACACACTGTGCTGAGGCAGAGATGCAGCCTCTCGTCTCCTGAAAGACATTCCCCACCTTCAACTCTGTGGCAGGTCTTGAAGGCATCTCACCTTCCGTAATATCCCAGGGAACACCTCCTAGGAACACCTTGCAGGAGTAGATGGGGTTCTTATAGTTGCGGGGAGGAAGCTGGCCACTCCAGGTACAGGTGGCTTCATTCACAGCTTTGGAAGAAGATGAAGAAACAAACAAAGGGTCAATGAATTGACAAAGTCACCAAGCTTCCTCGGAATGAACCTGTCCAGGAAGAAATAAACCAGCCACAATGCTAACTTGGCTGCCTGGGAGAATATCCACAACTATTCTGAAAGGCAAGAAATGTCATATCTCATAAATCTACTCAGTTTAGTTGGATAATCCTAATTTAACAATTTTGTCCCCACTAACATTGAAAGGAATGCCAAATCAGACATATAAGGTAAACAATCATCACATCCCAAGCTATTTTCAAACATATAACTGATAGTGCTAACCACAAAACAGTTTTATCTGGATATTATGCTTATAGTATTAAATAAATTTCTAATTACTTGCAAGTAAATAGAGTATTTTATATAAATGTCCTATAAATAAAAATGTCCTATAGGCTTATTGATCCAAATAGGCCCTCTCCCCAATGTTTGAATGAGAAACTATTGTTCTACTCTTATCCTGTCTTGGCTCTGAACTCAATCATGGAAGTCATAACACTGCCAATATACTACCACTAGCAACTCAAAAAATCAGAAATGTCACACTGTTCCCCAAGTCAGAACCATGACACAGGGCCCTCCTTGATGCCAATACTGAACAATAATGGATTTGGCACTTCCTATTTACACCAAACACAAATACCTTGTTTAAAAGCCCTTTTTGCTCTATAGGAACTTTCTTCTGTTTGGCCCATCCTTAACTATTTCTAGAGACATGTTCTTGATGACCAATTCAGTCACCTATCAGTACGTAATCCTGTCTCCACCCAGTCTGTGCCTTTCTTGATCAAAAAAACTAAACTAGGTGGGGATTGTGGCTAGTCCTTACCATTTTGCCCTATTTCTTCAATACTGAGGTAGACATCCAAATAAACCATCATTTTCATGTAAGACAAGGATATGGAAGCCCATTCCCTAACAGGCACAGGCCCAATGTCTCGATACAGCAAGAAATTGGGCATAACGATCAGTAGATTTTAGGACCAAAGTGAAAATCAATATAATGGCCTCATTTGAAAGCATGGTAATATCAATTCACAGGAAAACAATGGCACCAGAGAAAGTACAAAGGTGGGCTGCCAAAACCATTAGATGACAAGGGCAGCAGCAGCATTGTTAGGAGAGAATGAGATCTGAACTAGCTCTCTAAGTAGAAAGAAACTAAAGCCTAAGGAGACAATTGGAATAGAGAAACTATCATGCACTTAGTCATCAACTCCAAGACCTCAGAACAGTGGTTGGTGAGCATTTCCCTGAAACATTAGTAGTCAATGGCATATATAGCTCATTTACTTCAAAGCACTGATAGATAAAGAAAAAACAATTTAATATGTATTTAAGATCTCTTAAGAGACCAGGCACTTGATGACATCTCATACCTTAGACACTGCCAAATGGACCACCCATCCCCAGTGCATCCCTGAGTGTACCAATCAGAAAGCCTTAGGGAAGAAAGCCCCAGCATGTATTGTGGCTGGCAAGTCTTTGAATCAGAAAAGGGGTAGAGAGGTAGACAAAATCTCAGGCATCATTTCCAAAGTTTCTCTGGAGGCATCCACCCTTAAAAGAATCAAATCAAGGGCAGCACAAAGCTATCTCCATGGAAGAAAACAAGCAAGAGATGGATCTAACCCCTATGTTGTGGCACAGCTTTGTGTACCTGATTATCTGTCTCTTTCCTCTCAACCTCAAAATTGTTCCTTACTCCACAGAACAAATGATTCATTGTGTATCTAGAGAATTCACCAGGCAACCAAATCTCTTCTAGACAGTTCATCATGGTGTGAACCAAGGTTACTTTCTCTCTGCTCCGAGAATAAGGCGTCAGGCCCCAAACATTCTCAAGCCACACTCACCTGCAGCTTGCCGGTGCAGCCTGGCCTCTCTCTCTATGCTGAAGGGGTCTTTGGGAGCTTCAAGAAGGTCCCAGGATGGCCACACAGAAGCTCCTGGCCATCTCTTTGAAGCACTGGTTGGTGAGGGAGTGACTGCGGCTAGAGCAGCTTGCTCTTGGTCCATACGGGACCCAACCCCCATCTTTAAAGGGTCTCTGGGACCACCCCCAGTCAAAGACAGGAAAGGCAGAGGAGGGGAAATGCGAAGGCTTGACTAGAGGAAGAAAAAGGAGACAGTTTTTTTTTTTAAGGTTTTGTTATAAAGTAATACTGAAAAATACCTAACATACATTTTATCATTTGATACATTTTCTCAGACTTTCTTCCTGTGCATTTTTAAGATCAACTGTACTTATACTACAATTAAATTCTCTTCCTTTCCCCATTCAACATTTTTCCACACTGCCAGATAGTTCAATGAATTTATCATGTTTTATTTAGGAAACAAGCTACATTTCACTGACCCATTTGCCTACTGTTAAATATTTAGATTCTCTTTTCGAGTTTTCAAAATCATCAATAAAAATTTTAAGATGCTGCTTCTTCTGGGCTAGGGTGTTTAACTTAGTGGTAGACAGCTTGCCTAGCATGCACAAGGCCCTGGGTTTAATCCCCAGCACAGTGGAGGGTGGAGGCTGCTTCATTATCTTGTGCTTTCTTTGGTCAAATTATTAGAAGTAGAATGCCAAAGTGCTTTATACAAGGGACAAGTGTTCTATCAGAAAGGTATAGAAACATGAGTTATATAACATGCTTCTGTCAAGGCTTTTAAATTCTAATTTAGGGTAAAATGATACCATATTATCAAAAAAAGGTCAAAATAACTGATTGATAGAATATTTTAAGTTCTAATACTATCACTATATTCTCTTCTGGGTCATCCTTGTTTCTCCCCTAATTAGCTCTTGGAGCAGGGTAGCTAAGAAAGTTCTTTAAACAAAATCCCCAATATTAGTTCTGAGGTACATTCCCAAGTACTTTAGTTCCATCTAAAGTACATAAACAGAACTAGAAGCAGCTCACAGGGCAACAGACTGTAGCCCAGAGAAGGAAAGGGCCTATTGTGGCTGCTCTTCTAGAAATACACAGTTTGAAAAGACAAAACCAATGGGCAGTGTGAACACCAATGCCAGCTTTCACAGTCTAGGACAGGCTGACAGAAAACAGGATGGGTCATGAATAGGAAACCATGACCATAATAATATCGCTAAGCCTTAGATGGAAAAGAAGAGTCTGAGAAAACAAACCATTCTATATTCATTCAACATTCAGCTCAGGGGATTTGGAATTAGAAATGCAAGGCTCAGAAAGTACCTGAAACTGTATTTTATTTCAGGAAGATGTCTTACTGCCAATTCCACATATTTATTTCTATCCCTTTTCTATGCAATTCTATCTATACTAGCTATATCCTGGCCACCTACTCTAATCCATTTGCCAACTCTACTTATCATGGAGATCACACATATCATACACGAATAAGGAATATGAGATACATAAATTAACTCTGAAGCAATATTTCATAGATTTACCATCGTCTTGTATTCAGAGTGGGCAGGGGTCAGTGGAAAAAACATAAGAGCTAGAATCCAATTTGGATTAAAATCCTAGCGCTGTCAAGATTATTTTTAAAAAATTAATAAAATTTTTGAGATAGCATTCAAAAAGGTACAATAAATGTTATTGTTTAAAAGCTAACCACCCAAGTAGGTCAAAAAATAGAGCACTCCAGGATCCCCAAATTTACTTTTAAAATTAACTGTTTTCCAGCTTTTAGAGTAACTATTAAAATATCTTCAGCCTAGGATCTGAAATGTATTACTCATGGATACTCAAAGGATCCTTGGTTCTGTTGAAAATAAGTCTCTGCAAATATGCACACTGGCCTCCATGTCTCCTATCATCCTATCTTCCAGCTTGCATTCAAGCTCTAAGACAGACACTGCATCCTCATTCCCCTTGGACACACACAGGCAACACAACCCTCAAACTCCCTTTCTGAATATGTTACATACAATCAAGTCTGAGAGATGATCTGATCCAGAGCTGAAGCCACTCGTGTCTGAGTCAGAGGGGCTGCTAGAACGGGAATCCAGGATGGGCCGAGTGTCCAGGCGGGATCCTCTAGAAGGTGCTGGAAACTTGTCCAAATCAGACCCAAGGGGATCCAGAGGCAGGAAGCTCAATGGGGGTTTTCCTAGGACATTTCCCAGCGGATTATGAAGCATGCTCAGTACTAGGACCAAAAAAAAAAAAAAAAAAGAAAGAAACCATATGATTTTTTAGTTTTTCCAGCCAAAAGTCCTTCTTTTCCCCTCCAACAGCTATCTAAGGTAGGACCACTGAAAGCATACCAGAAACACAGAATATAATTAACAAATTACCATCCACTTCTGAGACCTGAACCCCCACAGCTCATGAAAGGCAGTTAGAGGATACTATTTGAAGACCAGAGTTCCTGCAAAAAAGTCTGCTCTCTGTCACAAGACTTAATGATTAGTGCCAACATCTGGGGACCTTGATCTCAACTGCTGATAATACCTGAATACACCTATAGCACAATTAGTAATCCCAAACCATATTCTTTTCTGCCTGTCAATCTGCTTATTAGAAAAATTCCCAACTTTTTAATGTTACACAGTTGAAATTCAGGAATACATACCACATCCCACAACTTTGGTATAGTACAAGCATCAAACTCCTAGCTTACACTCCTAGCTTTCTTTCTTACCCACAAATTATCTTCTATGCACCCCTTAATTTGAAACATTTAGGATGGAAACAGAATGGCATGGTTAAGCCCACTCTATGACTTAAGATGAACCAGGATAAAATCCTGGGCCTAATACCTCCTGCAGATGTTTCAAGCTCTGGGAAGCTCACTCGACTCTCTGAGCCTCCCCTTTCTCACTGGCATCTTCAGTGGAATACCAACTATTTCATAACATTGTTAGGAGGACTTAATCAGACAGCAGATGGAAAGTACTCAGTAGAGGGTGCCTAGCACACAATATTTAAATATCATACATTGAAAAAGAACAGTATTTCTCCACACATGGTCTTGGGGAAATGAGGGATCTGAGCAAAGCACAACCTTTGCCCATGAGAATGAAGAGTAAGAGGGCTTTGTTGAGCCATGGGGGCACTAAAGCTAGGATAGAACCCTTAATTTGGTATTTTTTTCATCTGAATAACTGATAAAACATTTTTCAAAATGGCCTAGGTGAATCCAAAATAATATAGGTGATCAATGAACAAGCCTGTTACTGGGTCTCCTTTAGCCTAGAGTAGCAATTAAGTGAAACATAGGCCACCTAGAGCTTATTTTTTCCCAGGCCTCCAAGTTAGACTGAATGCTTGGCTGGGTCTGGAGTGAGTACCAAGAGGCAGAAACCAACCAAAGTCAAGACATGGTCTCAAGAGTATCAAACACACTGCCATTCATGACAGAACATATGCGTGCACAAAATCCAAAACAGTTGTTACCATGGGATCAGACCAATCCAATCTCCTTGGCATGCGATCTCCCTTTCTAGATATAACTTTTTTTTTTTTAAATGCAGGAGACAGTGAAGATATATTTGCAAAATTGTTATTCTATAATGGAAAAAATATTTTTAATTAAAAAAAGTAGATATACCATCTTACAGTCTCAACAGCAATGATGAGTTTCAGTCTCCCCAAATCCTGGCCAATATCTGGTATGGTCAGTCTTTTTAATTTTAGCCAGTCTAATATTTATGAAGGTGGGTGGAGCCATACTACAGCCACCAAGGAGCTTGTTTACTATTTTTTCAAGAAAACAGTGTTTTACCTTGGCCTTTCAAAGCAGTTTTCTAAGCACTAGCTTGGAACTGTATATATGCAACACTTAACTGTATGGTGAAACTAAGTATCTCAAAAAACTTCCATTCTGATGCCCATCAAAAATAATCTTGACAAAACTTCAGGTAATCCTTGACAAACCCCTGCCTGAAAGAAGTGGAAAATCTGCCCTGAAAAGGCAGGATGTATAAACATTTACTCAAGGTTCTTCCCTGATGCAGCAAAGCACCGAGAAACCCACAGATCACATGCATCAGTCTTAAAAGTGGTTCCAATGCCCTAGAGGGCCTTGTCCTCCTTCGAATTTTACAAAAAAAACGAGCTCAGGGAGGTGAACAATGAGGTAACAATCAAATCATAAAAAGTCTTAACAACCAGATTAGTGAATTTTGATTTTATCCTAAGGGTGACTGAGAGACACTGAAGAAATGATGTGAAAAACTGCTGAGGGGATAACAAAAGAGGCTGGCTAGGAAATCTGACGAAGACAGCCACAATTGCCTAGCTCCCAGCAGAGAGGGAGACCAAGTATTTAAGTTGGACTTAACAGAACAGCAGAGCTCAGGTACCTGAATGGGCACTGGACCCACAGAGGGCTGTGATTTTCCCCCGAGATGGTGTGAAGGAGAAAATGGGACAACAGAGTTGATACTGACATCAAGAGAGGAGATAAGGAGAGGGTCAGATGTTATAGGCTAAAGACAGAAAAGAGACATTAGATTGGGAGGAAATATACAGAGAAACAGCAAGTTCTAAGGACTGTGAGAAGATTAAAGAAAGCATTATAGGATAAACAGGAAGAGGAAGGACTGTAACTATTCAGAGTTCCAAATGTGGCAAAGTCCAGAGTATGAAAAATACAGGTGGCTGAACTAGAATGGGTAAAGTCTGAAATATCAGACATTATGTTCAACATCCATATGAATATTAAAAGAATTCATGGTGATACTTGGGACCAGGGTTAAAAAAAGAAAGAAAGAAACCCAGGTATTGAAATCTTCAGGAGAAAGACTGCAAGCTGTAAGAAGGAACAAAAAGAATGACCCTGAGGTAGGTATGGTTTGGGAGAAAGAGTAGGTTCCACTGGGCAAAGCAGGATTTTTAAGAAAATCCTTCAGCTAAAGCAGAAGTTAGAAGGAGCATTCACCAGTGATAAACAGGATTAAAGGTAGTTAGTTAATCCTGGAAGAGGGGAGTTTCATGCAGCACAGTATTGACTAGCTCTGAGAGTTATAAGCAAGATCTAGCAAAAGGACTATGAAAAAAAATGTTGAAGAATGGCTGACTAATCCACAGGGTTTGACGTGGGGGGACCAAGGAGACAAATATGGGCTATGTCTTCACCTACATTTTTAAAAAGGTGCATTGAAAAGAGTCAAAAACCAACCTAGTAGTTGCTACAGGTCACTTTTTCTCATTCATGCCAATTCCTATTAACTATTCTATTGATACATGTCTATCTCAACTAAACTGTAAATTTCTACTGTACCTACATAGGGAACTTGAGGCTTTGTCAAGTTTCTGGCTTATAGCTAGGAATTTTATGTCTACAGCACTCCTCTACTATGGTAACAAGCCTGTCTAAATAGAAAATGGTATGACATCCCATGGTGGTCACTAATGAATTATACTTCCTCAAGTGCTGACAGCTCATGGTCAGTCATTTGTTCCACAATCTGCACCAGGTTCAATCAAGTCCCTAACACTAATGGCAACTTCCATTTATTGAACATCCAACACATGCCAGAAGTACTTCAGGAAAATAAACTTTACTGGATCCTAAAAAGTGGATATTACACCATCTTAACACAGGAAATCATGAGTCAGGGGGTAGTCAATATGTGTAAGTCGCAGTTCATGAGTGACAAAATGGGACCTGATCCTTTCTGACACCATGCTTCATATTCCATAGTACACCATTTATTTGTTAATTAAAAAAAATTGTCAGGGGGATGGAGATGAAACTCAGAGCACTCAACCAGCATGCATGAGGCTCTGGATTGAATCCTCAACAAACCCTCCTCCCCCACCGATACAAACTGCCAGGATCCCATATCTCTTTGTCTTCTTGGTCCTGGCATCTCTCCTTTCTGTTCAAATTCTTTAAGACCATCAACTACAAATGAGCAATCTCACCTACCAGAAATTGGTGCCACAGGACCAAAGCATGCAGGTCTCAAACTTTAGCTAGGCTTTGCCATTGTAGGAACTCATTAAAAAATGCATCTTGGACCCCACGTGAATCAGAATCTGCATTTTAACAAGATCCCAAGAGATCTGCATGTACATTAAAATTTAAGAAGCACTAATCTAGAAAAAATGAGGCTTATTACTTCAAGTTCCTAATCAACCCCTTTACCTCACCCAAATATCTTTCATATATATTTCCTTTGATTTAAAGACTAGAGATTATAATATAAATACAGCTCTTAGGACACAACAGCAACCCACACTGGAAAGAAAAAATAGAAGGGAGGGTACCAAAGCAATCCAGGTGGCTGTACAGGACTCGCCCTCAAATAGTGTTAACTCTGATAACACTCGAGTGGGGTACAGGGAGAAGCAAAAAAGTGGCATAACACAGTACCAGGAACAAATAATACAAAAACAGTGGCAAGGAACAGTAATTATACTTTCATGAAAAAGTATGTTCAAGACAATTAAGGGACTTTGTAAGCTCATTCTGAGCAAGAACAAGAAGAGCTAGGGCCTAAAGTTTGGGCTGATGCGTGTTAAGAGAGAAGGAAGAGAAAAATGCTAAAATTGGAATATAAATGCCAGTTTTTAAGTATTGTTATCAATTTTAAGGTAACTTAAATTCCTTTTTTGTAATATTCTCTTTTTTTAATTTTTTTTTTTTTAAGGAGAGAGAGAGGCACAGAGAGAGGGAGAGAGAGAGAGCTCTAACATTTTATTTTTCAGTTATTGGCAGACACAACATCTTTGTTTGTACATGGTGCTGAGCATCGAACCCGGGCCGCACGCACGCTAGGCGAGCGCGCTACCGCTTGAGCCACATCCCCAGCCCCTTTTGTAATATTCTTAATGGTTCAGGAAAAAAAAACAGAGATAGAGAATGATGAAAGTACATGGGGTTAAAATGTATGTCAACAACAGAATTCTGAGATTTCCTTCAAACCACAGAATGAGCCAAGTTTCTGGAAACTCTGACACTGGTCAGATGCCCTAGAGTGACCTGACTGTCCCTCTATAGCCCAACCTGGCAGAGGGTTCCAGCTCATTAATGCTACCTCAGAGAGTACAAGAGACCAAATCAGCAGTAATATTTTTAGACTGATTGTTAACTTTCTCTACTTTCACCCTTCTATGCCAGCTCCTGTGGGTTTTAGAGCTGAGTCACTGTTCAAATTTTCTGAAGGCTTCACCAAGGGTACAAAGGCATCAAGAGTC